ACCTACACCAAGATGAAATGTTTGGGAGCGTCGGCCGAGGGCAGAGAGCCCCACCCCGGACTTGACAGCTGAGTACGAGGTGGAAACAGTTGCACTGCCTGATCATGAGTACTGTTTAAATCCAGCGACGGCAGTGATGAACCAACGAGAACGAAGCCTTGAAAAGTCAGATTAGGGAGCTCCAACACCAGCTGGAAGTGTTACAACTGCGATCTCGTTTCGGGATACAACGCCTCGCAGGGTCGGACGAGGACATTCGTTTCTACACCAGGTTTGTTTATAAGGCTATCAGGATGTTGTTATGGCCACTCGTTTGAAAAACACCTTTCATTTGGGGAAGCTAATTTAAGAAACAAAACGATGTCTAACATGAACATTATTACATTCTTAGATTTGTCACATACAAGCATTTCCTTGCCTTTTGGAAATTGGTGGAGCCAGCAGCCAACACCAAGATGGTGCGGATCACCAACGCCAAGGCATCCTCTGCCAGCAGCTCGGATTCCTCTCAACCAACAACAACGGTATGCAGCATACAAGCATGGATGTATATTAATTATGCACGCTGTGCACTATACCACCGTTTAACAAGTGCATCACACACACACACACACACACACACACACACACACACACACACACACACACACACACACACACACACACACACACACACACACACACACACACACACACACACACACACACACACACACACACACACACACACACAACAAGCTGAGAAAATGGTCTGCCCGGTCAAAGTGTGCACTTTGGTTGAATGACGAGATGAGAAGTTTAATGGTCCAACGAGATGATGCTAAAAAAACTGCAGACAGAACAGGTTCTCTATGTGACAAACAACATTACTGTAAACTAAGAAATGCGGTAACCAAATTGAATAAATGTAGAAAGAGGGAATACTACATGCAGGAAATCAGTGATACTAAGAATGATGGAAAGAAATTATGGAAAATATTGAATAACATAATGGGGAGGAACTCAAACATGCAGCCTTCCTTTATAGAAACCAAGGGTAAATTCATTACCAAGCCAGCAGATATTGCAAATCATTTGAATGATTATTTTACAAATAAAGTAGACAAGCTGAGGAATGCCATGGGTGCAGTCGAGGACACAGTGTCACATCACATCATTAAAGATCGTATCATGAGGGGAAAGCAGTGCATGTTTTAATTCCACAATGTTACAGAAGAATATGTTGAAAATATGCTTTTACATCTGTCCGATGATAAATCTCCTGGGATTGACAACTTGGATGGTAAACTGCTCAAAATGACGGCCAAATACATATCCAAGCCATTGAGTCACATTTTTAATAAAAGTTTAGAGCAAGGCGTGTGCCCCGAGATCTGGAAGGAAGCCAAGGTTATCCCATTACCCAAGGATAAAAGAAAATCCTTTGCTGGTTCCAATAGTCGACCTATAAGTCTCCTCCCAGTGTTAAGTAAATTAATAGAAAAAATAGTATACACCCAAACTCTACAAGTACAGCACTTGCACAAATGACAGACGACTGGTTAAAGAGCATGGATGATAGGAGGCTTGAAGGAGCTGTCATGTTAGACTTTAGCGCAGCTTTCGATGTAATCGATCACAGTCTGCTGCTGAACAAACTCAAATGCTATGGCTTTGGTTCTGTTGCTATGTGTTGGATGGAGAGCTACCTGACTAGGAGAAGGCAGCGAGTCTTTTTCAATGGGAGCTTTTCTGAAAGTAAGGTGTTGCAGTGTGGGGTCCCACAGGGGAGTTCGCTTGGGCCTTTGTTGTATTCTATATTCACAAATGACCTTCCTTACGTATTAAATAAGTCCAGTGTAATAATCAGCGACGTGCAGTCAGGGGAGGCAGAGCCTCACCTGTCATACTCCAATGTAACGGAAAAACAATTAAAGAAAAACTAAATAATAATAATAATAATAATAAAATGTCTCCACTGATCTTGTGTAAATGTGATTTCTGTATGATTCCAATCGCATTTTATAGTCAAAATCAGCAAATTTGCCGAGCTTTGCTACGGGAGCGATGAGAAGTGAGGCAGGGACGAGCTCTGCCTCACGTAAGCCCACAGTAACTTGCTGGAGCGCGGGCACTAATTTAGCGCGGCCACTTATTTTGTGAGCGCGCTCAAGCCAGTTACTGTGGGGTAAGGTGAGGCACAGATGAGATCTGCCTCACTTCAGAATGCGTCACCCCACAGAAACTGGCTGGAAAGCGGGCCCTAAGCGCATGCCTGTTACCATCTCACTGTAGGTCACCAATGTAATGTTTGTAGATCCCTTTATTACATTTATCCTCGCCATCCATAGTCTCTAAATAACTTATTTCACGTATATATGATATTTAGGCTCGCTGGTCTCATCGTACAACGGCAATGAAAAAAGCACCAGGAGAGGCAGCCATAACCTCTGCGAAGGGGGCGCACGTGAGCCCACAGGTTCTTGTTGCTACTGTTATTCTACGCAGAGACGGTAGACGCAAACAACAAACTAGACTTTAGAAACTACAGGAAGATAAGGAGGACTTTTACAAAAAAGTAATAGAGATTGTTGTCCAGAAGGATAGCATGGATTTCTATTCATCTTCAAGTCAAGGTAAGACCACAACTGTAATGAAAATGGGATCTTACTAAGAAAGAACAATCCAATATTTAGATTTTGGGTATCCTTTTGTTGATCGATCTGTTTAAAATTAATCATAGCATCAGACTAAAAAAGCTTTTGAAAATAACAGAATATTTCGACTAAGGTCAAAATATAATATTTGTAAATCTGACTCTGAAAGAGCCATGAACCTCACCGCACGTCACTGGTAATAATGTATGCTGATGATTCCACAATGTACAGTACAGCATCAACATGCAGTGAGTTAAACAATCTACTTAAAATAGAGATTAAAGCCATAGCAGACTGGGTCAACAATAACAAACTGGTACTCAACATTGCAAAAACAAAAGCAATGGTGTTCGGATCCAGACATATGTTAAGCAGCAATCCTCAATTAAGCCTGACACTGGCTGGTCAGCCAGTGGAACAGGTAAACGAGACTAAGTTGCTTGGCATTGTTCTTGATTCTGGTTTACAGTGGACAAAGCAAATAGACAGTATCATAACTAAAATGGGAAGGAGCATAGCTGTGACGAGAAAATGTACAAAGTATGTAACACCAACCACTTTGAAACAAGTCATTCAGTCTCTGGTTTTGTCACATCTTGAGTACTGTCCGGTCATATGGTCATCAGCAGCAAAAACACATATACAGAAATTACAAATAGCTCAAAACAAGGCTGCCAGACTAGCTCTCCACTGTTCGAAGCGCACTCATATTGGAGTTATGCATAGAAACCTATCATGGCGTCCGGTTGAGAAACGTCTGCAAACTTGTGTTATCAATTTTCAAAAAAATGTCCAATTTAGCAAAAAACCACTGTATTTTTATGATCAAATTGTTTATACAAGAGACGAGCATGACCATAGGACTAGACAAGCTACATCAGGCCATCTACTGGCACCTAAACCCAGGACCAATCTTCTGAAATCTTCTGTGACTTATAGAGCTATAAAGGAATGGAACTCAATGCCAAACTACCTTGCTGAAATAGAGTCCAGAGCCTCTTTCAAGAAGAGATTGAAAGGCCATCTACTAATGACCATGTACCCTTGTGAGCTGTGAACCCTAATTTTATTTGATCTCATGCTTTGTACTGGTGGGTGTCTTGTGCACTCATCCTTGGCTGAGATTGATGTTGTAAGTGGATGAGATTGTTCCAATGATGTTGGAAATTGTTGATGATATTGGTGATGTTGTTAATATTGTTAATGATGTCAGGAGTTATGTCTTGAATGTTTTGTATTATTGTTGTATTGTTTTAAGTGTCGGACCCCAGGAAGAGTAGCTTTTGTCAAGAGTAAAAGCTAATGGGGATCCTTAATAAACATAAACATAAACACACACACACACACAGAGAGAGAGAGAGAGAGAACAACAAACCCCAGGAAAATGTGTTACAACTGTACCCGGTCTCCCTATAACAGTATCTACAGTATGCCTAACACTTATTTGTTTTCACAGAAACTTCCACCCATAGATGAGCTGCTGCTGTTCCTCATGCACCTGTCAGTGGGCCTACATCTGAGGCATCTAGCAGAACGGTTTGGCATTCACCGCACCAGTCAGCAGAATTATTTCCACCTGGACACACTTCCTATACCAACTGCTTGGAAGCAAACGTCTGTGGATCCCACGCGAAGTTGTCAGAGCTCACCTTCCACCAGAGTTTTCAGCTTTCCCTGACACACAAGTGGTGCTTGACTGCACTGAAGTATTCTGCCAGACTCCATCATCTCTCCTGCTGCAGAGTGAGGTGTTTTCAACATACAAGTCGCATGTTACATTCAAGGCCATGATCGGCATGGCACCACATGGTGCCATTACATTTGTGTCTGGCCTGTATGCAGGATCTGAGTGACCGGGAGATTTTCAAGCTGTCTGGCATCGTGAGCCTGCTCACACCAGACATGGCAATAATGGTCGACAAAGGGTTCCTTGAGGACAATCTGGTTGAGTGCAAAGTTTACCGGCCTGCCTTTCTGTAAAAAAAAAAAAAAAAAGAGCAGGGAGGATGTCAGGCAGACTCAATCCATTGCACTTCTGAGGGTCCATGTGGAGAGGTGCATCAGAAGGGTCAAAGAGAACAAACTCTTTGACAAAGCCGTACCACTGTCTGTGTGTGGAAGCATTGAGGAGCTTTTCAATGTGGCTTGCTTCCTGGTCAACTACCAGAACGGACCACTGGTGAAAGCCTGGGCAGCAATGATTAAAAGATTTCTTGCTCCCAAACCAATTGTGTATTTCATTGTGGTCATTACAAAAAGCAGTCATACCATACTATGTTTAGGTACTAATGAATTATAACCTCAAAACAAATGCACACAAAAATAACATAGGACAATACATAATATAATAAATCCACAATATGATAACATTTTACAGATTCATTTAATACACTTTTACAAAACATAGGTTGATGTTATATCGGGGGAAGAAAATACATATTTAAACATTTCAATTAGTCTCTGCATATTTAAGTAATGCTAGTTTATGTAGCAGATGAACAGATCAATGCAAGATAAGTTAGTTAGCATCCACAACTTTTGTTAATGAATAACGTCATATGACATTAAATGTCTGCCAATAAACACCCCTTTCTTCCTCACATAGGTCCTTTGACTAAAGGATCTTTTTGACTTATAGAACACACTTGGTTCTGGATTTAGCAATTGAAAGAACTATATACAGGAAAATATTCATGTTAGATCAGTAATGTAGTGTGATGTAGTGTGGTACACTAATGTAGTGTAGTGCATATCAGTCCATATACAAAAAAATATAAAAATAATCTCCCTTCTCCCTAATGGTTGTAGCCACCTCGCAGTCTCTGCAGATACGCTGTATAAGGATATCCTCCTCTGCAAAAACGACGAAATCGCACCACTCCATCCCTGTGAGTAGGAGCTGGCCTTGCACCTGCCAATAGTAGCTATGAGACTGCTTCAGTTTTAATGTGCCACTTTGCATTTTTAAGTAGCTACAGTCCACATAACTTTTTGCATTTGGGCATTTTATTTCAACAAGTCCAAAAGGTGGGCTCTCAGTTGGGTCAAACACCAGACCGTCAGGAGATGACCCTAACCAGGGGGCATCTGGGTGAATGACAAACCCGCACGGCCAGTAATTGGTGTTTTTAATCCGGTAGTATTCCTGGATGGCAACCGGTTCCAGTGCCAGTCCCCTCTTCATTGACGCCGTTTGCGCCACTCCCTTCCGAATCCGTTGTGCCAAGTTTTCAGCCGAACTCTGACCTCGAACATGGCATACTTCCCTGAAACGGGAAGAAGTTATTCTTGGCCTCCTAACACGGTGCCATTCCACACTGTCGCTCTGCTCCCTTGTGGCCACCTCGATTTTCCTTGCCATGAGCAATGTTGTCGCAAGTGAGAGTAGATGGAGGTGCTGTTGGTGACTGCACACAAACTCACAGGTGGTAGGCTCCAGCCTATAGCCATCCACAGGTAGAGGTGGTGGTGGAGGGGCATCTGGGTGACGCACTATAACCCGGCTAAGAGGTAGCGGATGCTGGTATGAGATAGGGCTACCTTCCTGAACTTTTCCAAAGGTGGAGTTAACCAGTGGCACGTCCACACTTATAGCCATGGTGGTGATCAGTGGTGTGATGTCTGCTGAGAAGTCCTTGTATACCTCACTGACTTTGAGGACATCTGGGTCTGGCAGCTCCCCCCGCACGGCCTTGTAACGTGTACTCCTTTGAACATGTTTATATGATAATTAGGACTTTAAGAACAATTTTACACTCAGACAACAATCACAAAGTTGTTGCAGGCTACATACAATTACTTAGGACAATAGATATTACCTTACACCGTCAGCAACTGTAAACTGCTTTGGCTTAGTGGAAATGAACACCATGTCACTCACTCTGCCTGGTTTCACACCCTATTAATAACACAAAAGAAGTGTCAAATTAATTGAAATGGTCATTGATGCAACATACTAGATCAGCTCTTGGCACAAAGGAAATACTAATTAAACCGTGGATTGGTTGTGAACACATACTGTACTTACCATGGTTCTTGGCTTGTGCCATCGCTGCTCTGTTTCAGTGCAGCTGAGGACAGGGGGTACAGCAGCCAGGTTGAGTGTGGAGTAGTGTGCGGTCTGGAACAGCAGTGCAACATTGTGGTTGCAGAGTGCTGTTCCAGCTACACAGGAACACTTTGCCACTGCAATCTCCACGGGTGAGCAGTTCTCAAAGACAATCTACACATTAAAACAAAATGTCAGTCATTTTACATTTAGGACACTGCTTCAATACAACACAGAAAAATGAGAAAGCTGAGAGCAGGCTGATCAGGCAAGTAGTAGGTGTGGGAAAAGGCTAAACCATGTCAGGTTATCAGTCACATCACATACACAGAAGTTCTGCTGTTTGGAATACTGTAATTTAAGGACATTCAAACAGATAAGCTCTCTCAGCTGTCTCAATTTATTATCTTATTATTATATTATAACTACATAAAATAGTGTTAGTAGAACGTTGAACAGCTTAACATAGATGTCGGATACAAAACCAGCACTTACCTAACACTGGCCCATACAAATAACTGGACCCTACATGGATTATACTAACCATACAGTAAAGAACAGCAGCCGTCACAACCAGTTTCTGGGGTTTCCATGAAAGTAGAGACGGTTTTCAACCTCTCATTAAGAATCTTTGATGAAAGCTAAGTTTGGGTTTAGCTAATGTATTTATCATTTTACACGAGAGGGTTACAAAACGAAAATAAATCTGTAGCCCCTTCATGCTACACACACATAGCTAGCTACCAGTTGATGTGAGCTAATTTATTGTCACTATGCAATCTGTTGCAACACGTCAGCTAGCCGGGCTTTTTTGAATCCTAAATCACAGGTTACCTACTCTAGCCACATCAAAACCCCAGAACATTAACCTGATTGAGGCTTTGAACCGATGAACACTTTTTATTTTCCTCCCTACTCTGAGATCGTGAGGCTTTTCATGCTTCCTCATGGACCTGTAACAGCTAGCCCTGACGCTCACTCTCCCTGAAGGTAGATCTTTGTTTGAAACTGTGGGGAATTGGACATCATTCATGTTATCCAAAACACGTAATAGTACATCATTAAAACGCTGTACACTGTATCAAGACTGTCAAGTTGTCAAAGTTAGCCAGTAACTACAGCTTTGTTTGTCACTTACCTTCATACTTGTCGATGTAACTGGATATGTACATCTTGAACCCCTTTTCTCTTTTGCTCCTCGGGGCTGAGCTTGCCGCTTGTACCAGCCGATGTACATCACTGATGTTAACCTTCGGTAGGTCTTGGAGACATCGAGTGTAAAATAGTGCCATCACGTTAACGTTAGCCTTCTCACTTTGCTCTAGCGCTATCTGTATGCTATCTATCTTGCTATCTGTATCTGTATCTCTCTATCTCTCTCTCTATCTATATCTATCTCTATCTATCTCTCTATCTATCTCTCTATCTATATCTCTATCTATCTCTCTATAGCTATCTATATCGCTATCTACCCGCCCTACCGCTCTACCGTAGACCGGAAGTTTACAAGCGCACACTCAATGAACCGGAAATGGAAATACGTCATCCCGTGCAACTAGCCTATCTACCGCAAGGCTTCAATCTACGGCATAACACCGGCCCGGCTAAAATAACTGGATGGCCTACCTGCCTGTCAGCCTTCCATCTGTGCACAAACTTATCTCGTGCCCTCATTGGTCATGTGCGCGTTCGTGTGTGTTGGAGGAGGGGCTCTGTAAGGAAGTGGCAGATTTTTTCCGGCTGTGTATTTTCCAATTCTAGCACACTCGAGCTGGTTTCTCCAAAATTACCTACCCCACCTTTAATTCAAAGTGTTTGTTTTTATTTGCTTTTACACATTTAAAAAGAAAAGGTGAATAAAGAAGCGCATTAAAACTAAAGTATCAATGTATGTCACATTTAACCAACTAGTGCCTACATGTATGGGTAATATTTAAATCAGTAAATTAAATGGCATATTATTCAATGTATGTATTTTTATAAATTTATTTAGGTAGGTTTGCTCTTCCGTAATACATTTGAATTATTATAATAAAGTACATGTGTCTAATAATACTTACATACTTTTACTTAAATAAGATATGAATGCAGTACTTTAACTTGTAATGGAGTATTTTCACAGTGTGGTGTTTGTGCTTTTACTTCAGGATCTACTACCTGCAGCAAGTGCTGATAAAGGGCCTAAAGTGTTATTAATGTGGTAATAAAGTGCAACTGAAGAGTGTAAAGTGTTAATTAAGGGTAAAGGGAACAGACCTGCTCTGTGTATCCGAAGCTGAGGCTGTAAAACAGCGTCCAGTAGTTCCTGGAGTCTCTTGTTCTCCTCTTTGGAAAGAGACAGCTCCTCCTCAAGCTCTGCTATCGTTTTTTCAAACAGAGTAAATATCTCTTCAGCAGTGAGTCGCTGCTTCTTCGACGACTGCAGCATTTGGACTTTACTCATGTTTACTAGATCACCTTTTCCTGCAAACTCCGTTAAACACACCTTTTCCATCAAACTCTCAATCTGACTAGTGTTGCTAACGTGTTTCCAGCTAGCATGCTAAGCTAGCTCCTATAGTCCGAGGTAAACGCTCCAAAAAAAAGAGCACACAGTCCATTCAGAGGTTTATCCAAACACAGATGATGGATCAGTAGTGCTGGAGCTCACACACACTTTCTCAGGAACACAGAGAGAGAACCGTAGCGACGAGACGCCACCTCGATCCAGGCTCTTCTTCTTCTTCTTCTTCTTCTTCTTCTTCTTCTTCTTCTTCTTCTTCTTCGGATTGCAAACAACTTAAAATGTGCATACCGCCACCTACTGTACATGAGTATGAATCATCATATCATACCAACTCTTTAACCTATGATCTAATCAAAATAAATAAATCAATCAACAAAAAACATGAAAAAAATAAAAATCTATATTCTTTCCTGACCTAATGTTACATTATTTTTCCTACCCCAGTTTCACTCAAGAATGTAAACAATGCCTTTCTGGTAGCTCTTACTCCCTCTCCTTTTGTTCCCAAAACACCAACCACACTCCATTCCCTCTCTGCCTCTAAAACTTTAGCCTTTAGTTTTCCTCTTTCCGCTTTATAGATGTCACAATGTATCAAGATATGTTCTACATCTTCTTTTACTCCACAGTTCCCACACTTGTCACTGTCACTTTTCCCCATGATATACAGCGTACCATTCAAAGCCGTGTGATTTATTCTGAGTCTAGCGATCGTGATTTCCTCCCTTCTGTTTCTTTCTTTATAAATATGAATTGTGATTGTCTTTTGTACTTTGTGATAGTCTTTGGCTTTCTGGTCTTTCTCCCACCTTTTCTGCCAGATCTCCATCCCTTTCTTCTTAATTACTGCTTTTCCTTCTCCTTTACCAAGTTGAACTGGTAATGTTATTTCCTTTTGTAGTGCACTTTTTGCTAATTTATCAGCACACTCGTTCCCTTTCACCCCCTCATGTGCGGGCACCCAGCAGAACTGCAGATCTAATAATAATAATAATAATAATAGCTTGGATTTATATAGCGCCTTTCAAGGGACCCAAGGTCGCTTTACAAGTAATAGGGCAAAAACAAACATAACAAAACAAAAGTCAGACAGACAAAACAACAGATCGATTAGGGGCCGAAAGCCTTGGCAAACAGATGGGACTTGAGGGCCCTTTTGAAGGCGTCGAGTGTGGGGATGTTGCGAATCTCCGCAGGGAGAGCGTTCCAGAGGGTGGGGGCTGCCACACTGTAGGCTCTGTCCCCGAAGGTTCGCAGTTTGGTGCGGGGGGTGGTAAGCAAGCCAGAGTCTGAGGACCGCAGGTTCCGGGGTGGGGCATGTGGGTGAAGGATGTCCGATAGGTACTGGGGGGCAAGGGCATGGAGGGACTTGTAGGTAAGGAGGAGGACTTGGTAGGATATGCGGGACTTGACCGGCAACCAGTGTAGGTGGATGAGGGTGGGAGTGATGTGCTGCCACGGCTTTGTGTGTGTGAGTACCCTAGCAGCACAGTTTTGGACATACTGGAGCCTGTCCAGAGTTTTGTTGGGAAACCCGAACAGGACACCATTGCAGTAGTCCAAGCGGGAGGTGACAAACGCATGCACTAGGGTTTCGGCAACCGACTCCGAGAGTGACGGTCGGAGTCTGGCAATGTTCCTTAGGTGGAAAAAGGCCGATTTGGTCACAGATTTGACGTGGGAATGGAAGGAAAGGGTGGAGTCAAGGATGACAGGAGATGGGGGAGATGGAGCAGCCGTCGACCTCGAGGATGAAGTCACCAACCTTCTGGAGCAGGGCCTTGGGTGCCACAACCATGAGCTCTGTTTTATTGCTGTTCAGCTTAAGGTAGTTGGAAGACATCCATGTTTTGATGTCATGCAGGCAGTTGATGAGAGACTGAGGGGGGAGCTGGGAGGATGGAGTATATACCGCCTCTGTGAATTCTTAACAGGCTATGATTCAGTTCTATGAGAATGTCTTCTCTGGCAGTTGTTGTTGATTGTATGCTTTGTAATATGGACAATGAATCTGTGCACATCACCACCCTATCTGGTCTGACCTCTTCAACCCACTGTAATCCTATTATTACAGCAAGCATTTCTGCTGTGTACACTGATAATTGATCAGATGCTCTTTTTGAAATAGATATTTTAAAGTCTGGGATGTATATACCAACTCCAACACACTCTTCCTTGTTCTTAGAACCATCTGTGTAAATGTGTAGGTAATTGTAGTACTTTTCATACATACTTGTTTTAATTCCCACTTCATTTATTTGCCACTCTTTTTTCCTTTCTACAATACTCATATCTATTTTAGCTTCTGGGGAAAGCCATGGAGGAACACTACTAAATGGGCTTGCTTTGGCAAACTTTATGGTCTCCACTCCATATGCCCTCGTTCTCTCCTTACTTGTCCAGCCAAACCCACGCCCCTGGAATTTAGCATATTCCCAGAAATCCTGTAATATTCTGTTTGAAATATTTCCCTCTCCACTTCCTTGTAGCCTGACCCAGTATGACAGAGCAAGTTTCTCTCTTCTGATCTCCAGAGGTGTCTCTCCTGCTTCTATCAGAACTGCATTGATAGGGGATGACTTTATCGCTCCAATACACAGCCGCAATGCTTTATATTGTATTTTATCAATTTTTTTAAAAGCAATGTTTTTGCTGCTGCTCCATACACTATACAACCATAGTCTATTGTGGACCTCATAATTGATCTGTAAATGTCTATTAATGCTTGTTTGTCTGCGCCCCAGTTGCATCCAGCTACAGCTCGTAATAAATGTAATACTTTTTTGCATTTTGTTTTCACTTGTTTAATATGCATTTTCCATGTGTATTTGCTATCAAACCACAGTCCTAGGTATTTGAACTAATTCACCTTTGTCATTGGACGATCATATAGTGTTAGCTGTTGGCCATCAATCTTGCGTTTATTTGTAAATATCATGTAGCATGACTTGCTTTCTGACATTTTGAATCCCCAGTTATATGACCACCTCTCCACTTTTTTAATCGCTCTAGCTATATTCTCCATTACGTATGGGGCATTTCTTCCCCTCATCCAAATAGCCCCATCATCTGCGTATAGAGCCGATTGAATGCATGTGTCTAAGCATGTAAATATGTCATTAATCATGATGTTAAATAATATTGGACTGACTGCACTCCCTTGGGGAATACCATTTTCTATTTAAAAATAATTGGAAATATCTGCTCCAACCTTTACTCTAAATGTCCTGTCTGTTAAAAAGTCCCTTACCCAATTGTACATTCTCCCTCCAATACCCATTCTACTCAATTTGATCAGTAACCCATCCCTCCACATAGAGTCATACGCCTTTTCAATGTCAAAGTACACTATTGCCATTATCTCTATCATTTCAATGTTTTTTCCACATCATTACTCACTCTTACTAAAGCATCTATTGTGGACCGCCCTTTACGAAATCTTCTTCTTCTTCTTCTTCTTCTTCTTCTTCTTCTTCTTCTTCTTCTTCTTCTTCTTCTTCTTCTTCTTCTTCTTCTTCTTCTTCTTCTTCTTCTCTCGGTTTTTGGCGGATTGCAAACAACTTTAAGGTGCATACCGCCACCTTCTGTACAAGAGTGTGTATCACCATATCATCCTTTAATTATACCATTGTGTTGTTTACGTTGTGTTAAATTCTTCCAATCAATCCTGTTTCACTCAAATACTTAAGAATGGCCTTCCTGGTAGCTCTTACCCCCTCACCTTCTGTTCCCAGTATCCCCATCAGGCTCCACTCCCTTCCTGCCTCTCTGACCCTGTCTCTTAGTTTTCCCTCTCTGTTTTGTACATGTTGCAGTGTAATATGATGTGTTCACTCCACACCCCCTTGTAAGAGTCGGGAGGAGCTGATCATTTATTCCGACAAATTACTCAGACCTCCTAATTAACCTAAGTTATCGAGTCTATGTAAGTTTGCTGCTTGGCTCAGATCCACCAAGGTCAGCAAGATCTCACCTCTATTAACTCCCTGAAGAACCAGGTTCAATTAACTGCTGTTTCAATTCAGACGACCCCCTAAATCTGTTTAAGTGATCCCGAAGGATTTTGATATCAGTAAATGAGGTGTGGCCCTACCTAAGTGTGAGTGTGGCAGTGTGCAATCTTACCTTTGAAGCAGGAGAGGAGAGTGCAGATGTCTTTTAAGTTGTCCCAATCCAAAAGGTGGGATCAGTTTATTTGAAGAAAAATAGGTCCAAACTTATACAGGGTTTTTACCTTCTCTCGTTACAACATTATAATCATACTAAACCTATCATGCTGTGATCATGTTCTAATATGAAACTTTAATTCACTGTTTTACATTTATTACCATAATTTGTAACTTCAACTGCCCAATTCAGTTGTGACATTTAAAACCTCCCGATAGAATTTAGAGGCATTTCCTCATAAAAGGCCGGTGATAATACAAAGCACATTCAAACTTTCATTCACCAAATCAATTCACATCAATTCCATACCTTTTTTCCGACACAGATGGCGGGTACTAACATTCACAAACACATACCTATATCCCGCATGTATTCGGTGGAAGATCCTCACAGGTGGCGGTTACTAATACTCACAAACACACTCCTATCCGACACAGATGGCGGGTACTAACATTCACAAACACATACCTATATCCTGCATGTATTCGGAGGAAGATCCTCACAGGTGGCGGTTACTAATACTCACAAACCCACTCCTATCATTCCACTCATTCAACAAAGAAATTCGAGAGATATTTACCAAGTTTGAGAGAACCTTACCGAGAGCAAAAACCCAGCTCTCCAGGGAGAGAGCTTTACCGGGAGAGAGTATACCAGGGGAACCCCCCCCCTCTCTCTCACTCTCCAAAAAAAAAAGTTCCTCCCCATCCGCCAGTGTCTTTATGCTCGAAAACAGGATAGAAAAACCTAAAGACACCTCCTCCATACCCATATTTGTGGAAACTGGGCATGGCCTCTGATGTAAAGAACTGGACATGACCAGACATATTCTATGACTATGGCATAAGACACACCTTCCCATGTTTGTGCAAAAAGGTCATGACCCCTACTCTGCAGGACTTGCAAAATATTATTCTCGGCTATGACATAACCACCTTTTTGGGGCCTCAGTTATTTTTCAGGAGCACCCCTCCCTGTGTACTGCCTGTGAGGGAAGAGGGAAGAAACTGTCTCTCCTCTTATCAGTGACACCCATAAA